AGCTGCCCCTCGAGAGGGCGCACGGTCCGCCCCCGCCCAGCCGCCCGTCCCTCTGCCGCCGACGGGGCAACGCCGCCCGCCATGTCGCTGAAGCTCCAGAAACGCCTCGCCGCCTCGGTGAAGAAATGCGGCAAGGAGGGGCGGGCGGGGAGGGAAACTTCTCCTCCTGGAGCGCAGTGTCCGGAGCATCCCCAGGGGTCCACTTTAAGAGGCCACGCCAGGGTTTGTTTCGATCCGATCATTCTGGATCGGTGCCAGTTTTGACCGGTCCCGTCCTGTGTGATTCTGCTGCTCTGGCGGCCCGACGCTTGCAGATACCGATTCGATCCGATTTCCCGATTCGATGCTGATTGATCCTGCCACCCAGGGGGTCCCCCCACGAGCTTCCACCCGGGCGCACATCTAGAAGTCTTTCATGCACATCCCTGGGAGCCCAATGATGGACCAATTTTCCACCACCACCACCACCATAGGATGATGATGATGATGATGATGATGATGATGATGATGATGATGATGATGATGATGATGATGATGATGATGATGATGATGATGAGGAGGAGGAGGAGGAGGAGGAGGAGGAGGAGGAGGAGGAGGAGGAGGAGGAGGAGGAGGAGGAGGAGGGAGGGGGAAGAGGGGGGGAGGGGGCCAATCATCCTGTGTTGTTGGGTCCTCGTTTTGAAGAGACGGTCCCCGCGTTCCTCCTCTCTCCTCCTCCTCCCCCCTCCTCCCTCCTCCCGTCACCGCCCTCACTTCGGCATACCCCTCACACGTTCCGTGGCCCCATAGGAAGCTCCACCGAAGGCCCCAGTGGGGGTGCCCGCATGTGTCCGCCACACCCAGTGCAGCGTTTCGTGGCCCCATAGGGAGCTCCACGGAAGGCCCCAGCGGGGGTGCCCGCATGCGTCCGCCACACCCAGTACAGCGTTTCGTGGCCACATAGGGAGCTCCACGGAAGGCCCCAGCGGGGGTGCCCGCATGCGTCCGCCACACCCAGTACAGAGTTTCGTGGCCCCATAGGGAGCTCCACCGAAGGCCCCAGCGGGGGTGCCCGCATGCGTCCGCCAGACCCAGCTCCAGAATCACCGAAACAGCCCCGAAATGCCCCTGAGTTGGGTCCTTTCGGGGGTTCCCCCCTTGGGAAAATCAGAAAATCACCGTAGTCAAAACCTTCGAAACACCGCGGTTTTAATGATACCGGAGAAAAACCCGAATCATAATCTTTTTAGGGCTGTAGGGCTGTAGGGCTGTATGGGCTATAGGGCTATTGGGCTATAGGGTAATGTAGCTACAGGGCTATAGGGCTATGAGGCTATAGGGCTCTAGGGCTATAGGGTATAAGGGGTATAGGGCTGTAGAGCTACAGGGCTATACGGCTATAGGGCTATAGGGCTATTGAGCTATAGGGCTGTAGGGCTATAGAGCTATAGAGCTGTAGGGCTATAGGGCTATAGGGCTATGGGGCTATTGGGCTATAGGGCTATAGGGCACCCCCGGGCACCCGGGCACCCCTGGGCACGCCCTGGCACCCGGGCACTCGGGCACCCAGGCACCCGGGCACCTGGGCACCCCCGGGCACCTGGGCACCCGGGCGTGCGGCGAAAATCGGCGGCAAACCTAGCCTAATCATATGAATCCGCTAGGACCCCTACAAAGGCAAGCTCTGACTGGGGAACAGCGAGTTGGGGGGTTCCCCGTGGGGTTAGCGCGAATTGCGATTGGAAGGGGTCTGCCCGATCGCTCCCGGGACCCCCCCGAACAACAGTAACAACAAAAAATTCGGTTCAAAACAACAAGTGTTGTTTTAAGGTGTCGGGTCCCGGACACCCCCCAAAAACCCCCAAGCTCCCCCCCGGGATCTGGGGGTGAGAACCGACGAAAAACTCTCCAACAACTTGGGTTTTTTCCTGGGGTTTCCCTGGGGGTGTCCAGGGAATTCCCACACCAGTCTCAGGCTTTCGGTAGGACTCCATGCCAGAAGACACGGGCGAACCTACTTGCGCCTTGTTCAGGCGAGCAGCTGACGCAGCGAAAAACACATGTATGTTTAAATTGATATGAAAGTTCGCGCAAGTTTTGCCACAACATTGTTATTATTGAAGCCCTTCAGGGTGCAGCGCGGAGATCCCCATTCAGAATGAGACCCCGAATCCTCACACAATCTTCTTGTCTTAAATCTGCATCAGAAACGCTATCGTCAGAATAATAATTGAAATCATCGCCAATTACATCATATTTGGGAGGCTCTCAACCGCATGCACCATAAGGCCGATTATATCGACAACATTGTTAATCATATTGGGCGATGTTTCGGATGATGTCGGCAAGCTGACACAGTTTCGAGATGATGTGGGACTGCCGGGCGAATTGTTATGAAGCAATTCATGTTCTATCGGCAATGTAATCAATCATCGTATTATCCTTTTCTGAAAACCTTGTCGAAATTTCTGGCCCTAGGCTCACCAAAAGAGGGTTAAATTTGAATAAGCACCGTTTCAAAAGATCATCTCGAAAACAAAGTCATCATCGAAGACCCCTACGGCGATACACAGCCACCCGGTATTCTTCTTAGGCAGGCGCTTTGAACGAGGAGCCGAGTGTTAGGTGTTTTTTGGTGTTTGTTCTGTGGACATAATAAGCCAACAGGGGACAACATTTAGCGAACATCGTCCAACAAACATCCAACATGATGTAACAAGCATCTAAAATGAGTTCTTGGAGCCGTTTTGGGGTCATCTCGGACTGAAATCGGTCCAAAGTCAATTCCAAGACTACCGCGACAACGCTGCGACGACGATTTTGGCTCCACTTCAAAATCCATCGAACATCGATCAACAAGTCGCAACATGCTGTGGATCGAACTGTTGAATGAATTATTAATGGATGTTGGATGGATTGTGGATCCAGGTTTGGAGATTATGTAGAGCAAAATGTCGATCAAAGCCGAACAAAGCCATTTCAGTAAAATCATTCAACACATGTGACGTGAGGAAGCTATACTGTTTGAAGGGCTGAGGCATGCTTTGAGAGGTTACAGTCGATATATAACAAAAAAAGGCTTTCACAAAGAAATGAATTTTGGATGGCATGTTTGATGGATTTCGGCTTTATTTTGGAAATCATTTTTGTAGGAACACAGCTCCAACAACCGATGCCAACAGCTGATGAACAATGTATGCGATTTTGGATGAGCTGTAGGGATTGGATTGAAGGGGGCGGAAGGAAAGGAGGCCGTTGGGCTTATTTATCTGGCAAGCAATATGGTTCGACATTCAGAGCACGCCGTGCACAAGCAGGAGGCAGGGGGCGGCGGATTTAATCGCTTCGCGCATTCCGCCGCGCCTTGGATTAGCGTAGGTTGTCTTGGTGGTTTGGTGTTTCTTAAGTCTTGCGTGTATCGTAGGAGTGGATTTGTTTTGATGGTCTTGTGTGTTTGGCTGGATCGGTGTGTTCGCGTATTTGCGTTTTTCATGTTTTTTCATCCATCCATGTTTGAATCGATTTTTGGGTTTTGGGAGCGATTTGGGACCGTTTTTGGAAGCTTCTCTTCTCCAGACATCGATCAAGTCGTTATCAATTCCGGGATTGATTTTTGGAAGGCTTGCAAAACGGGATTAACCCTTCCGAGCTGAAGTAGTTTGGCCGCCAGGCCCTCACTGAGGACACCTAAAGTTCAGGTGTTCTGACTGGACACCAGGACTAGAGTCCAGTGGTGGGGGAATCGCAAAAGAAGAAACTTGCAGTAAGGGAAATCCACAGACGATTCACGCAGTGAAAGAAACCTGCAATAGGTGAAACCCGCAGTCAGAGAAACCCCCAGCAGGCGGAACCCGCAGTAGGAGAAACCCGTTGTAGGAGAAGCCCGCAATAGGAGAAACCCTCAGTAGGCGAAATCAGCCAACCAACACTAGGAGAAATCCGCAGCAGGTGAAACCCACAGCAGGAGAAACTCGCAGCAGGGCCAACTCGCAAGGGAAACCCGCAGTAGGATAAACCCGCAGTAGGAGAAACCCGCAGTAGGAGAAATCTGCAGTATGCGAGACCCGCAGTAGGAGAAGCCCGCAGTAGGATAATGCCGCAATCAGAGAAAACCGCAGTGTAGAAAGCCGCAGTAGGAGAAACCAGCCCTGGTAGAATTGTGCCGTGGGCCGCAATGGTGGAAAGGCACAGTGTGCGCAGTGGTAGACAGCCGCAGTAGGAGAAAACCGCAGTGTTAAAAGCTGCGGTAAGAGAAAATCACAACGGGGAAAGCCGCAATGGTAAACGCCGCAGTAGGAGAAAGTCACAATGGTATAATGCCGCAGTAGGAGAAAGCCGCAGTAAGAACAAGCCGCTGTGGTAGAAAGCCGCAGTAGGAGAAAGGTGCAGTAAGAAAGGAACCTTGGCGGCCACATGCCTGCGCCCACGGCGATCTTCACGGAATGCAAGAATGCGCACCCTTACGACGCGACAACCGAATACACCTACCAGCTGAAGCGTGTCCTCGCTCTCTTGCCATTTCCACATCGAGGCCAAGGCCAGCGGACCTGCTAAGCTGCTGGGCAATCCCCAGCCAGGCTGCTGCTTCCACTGCGACCAGCACGTGGCGGTCGAAGCTATCGAGGGCTAAGCGGAAATTCGACGCCGTCTCGGGCGAAGAAGAGGAATTAGGCGGTCTACAGACGTGTCAGCAACCACCTGCGATCAGTGCCTCCCAACCTGCTCTAACCGCTTCCACAGAGGCGGCAAGCAGCACGGACGACGGCGTGATGCCGACGGCAAAGGGTCGCCAGATGGTGCTGCAAGACCTGACGTGCCGCATGCTGCGGCGCTGGAGGCCTATGCCGAGACACCTGAAGCTAAGAGCACGCGGGCCTCGTGTGATGAGTCAAAACAAGGCTCTGAGCTGACAGAGCATGAGCTCATGAGGAGATTCCTCGACGGCGGCAGAGTGGAGCGGCTGCCGGACGGCACAGGCCTTCTCCTGCGCAGCAACAGATATCGGCGAGGAGCTATGCCGA